AAAAGAATCAAAAACTTTGTTAAAATGTTTCATGTGTCTTTAGTGATTCAACTGTAATCATATGAAGCTTCAAGAACACTTTTGTGAGTCCCAAAAAACAGTAAAAATTACTTTATTTAACTTTAAAGACATAAAAATAACTTATGTCTTTGTTGTTTCTGAAATAACAGAATGTAATTTAAAGGCTCCGCCCCCTTTATGATGCAGCAGCTCATTTGCATTTAAAGGTAAACACACAAAGATGCCATATTTTTGCTTACACCTAAATAGGGGCAATAAAGAATTATTTTAGAATAAGATCAATATAATAAGATAATAATTAAAATAATACAATAAAATAAATGATCTAATGTTTTTTAATGCTGAAACTTCACAGACAGATTCCGACGACACCAGAGATTTATTTTTACATCTCATAAAAGAAGGAGCCATAGTAATTTGGTTCCATTAATTCTGTATCCTCATTAGCCGCATGCTAATTGTGAAGATTGCCTTTTTTAAAGGCCTGCGCGGTTAAAGTCAATCCCCAGGCTCTAAAAGCAGATTGTAGCATTGGCAGGCGGATGGATGTCCTGATCCGTTCAGGCCCACTGCCAGAAGAAGCCCTCCAGGATGACGCTCGCAGGCCTGCCAGCGTGTTGTTGTGGAACAGGGTTTAACTTCTGTCTGGGCTGTTTATTTCCGTCCGCGTTGTTCTGAAGAGAGGATCATGGCTCTCGAGAGACGTCTGGAATAGATAACCACTCTGGGAAGAGCAGATACCGTGAATTAAAATGCTAAAACTGGTGATACGTCAACACGGGCCTCGTCCAGTTTAATATCTGAATGTTTCGTGCACTTGTCAGCGCAAATGTTGCCGTAATTACTTATTTTTTGCAGTCTATTAACAGCAAAGGCTTTGAAATGAGAAGCTATACTTGTTGATGGTTGTTTGAGTTAGCATAAATGCTTAAGGGGTCATGAACTGCCATCTCAACTTTACCTTCAGCTTTTGATATTTGAGAGGTCATCGTACTAAAAGAATATCTTGCAAGTTTCACTGAAGAAAACATCATTGTTAGTAAAATATCAGCTCTTTTTGGACATCAGGCTCAGAAAATGTGTTAAACCCATCTATGACATCATAGGTAGGTTTAACACAGCGTCCACTGAAGAAGATCAGAGCTTGATTCCGTAATTCCACCCACTTATTCATGCCGGACATTGTCAGATTGAGTCACAGATGCTGTTAGTTCCTCACCTGAACTGAAGGGGGAGTCAAATACTAGTTTAGTATGCAGAGCTGCTATCCAATCATAGCAGTGGACGTTTCCAAGTCATCAGAATCTGCACATTATCTTAGACTAAAACACTCAAAGATCTAATTTGAGAAGCGGCGAATCAATAATACTGTGCATGCGTGAATCAGTGAACCAAACACAAGCAGTAAATGACAGCCTGCTGTGACTGAACTGAACTTAAAACAACTGCAGCGCGGGTAAACTAAGGGGTTAAATAAAAGGATCTGGTGAAATGTACGTTTATTTCATAACAGACAATCGTAATGGAATTTAAATAAGTGAATCATGCTTCAGTTGGGTTGCAAAACTTTACTGTAAGAGATTTTTCAGATTATGGTGATGTTTTAACTGACTGGAATTACAATTGCTGACTACATAATTTTAGTACGTTGAGTCCTTACATCCTCATTAAATATCTGAACTAATACTGTGTATTTAACCTCAGAAGTGGGCTGTTGTATTTGAATTTGAGGATGATGGTAGTGGTAGATGATGGTGTTCATGTGTCCTCTAAATACAGGTTTCAATAAATGTATGGCTGAGATTTATCATACAATATTTATTCTGTTGATTTTGAATCAGCGGAGAAATTAAAATGGTCGTGCCGAACTGAGTCTAATTCTCTCAAGGTTTTTTTTCTTCACTCTCCTATTGGTGAAGTTTTTTTTTTCCCTCTCTGCTGTCGCCACTAGCTTACATGGTTCAGGATCTGAAAAGCTACTCATCGATGAATTTGCTCTTCAGTGTTTGGACTCTCAATAATGACTTCAAACCACACTGAACTGAGCTAAACTGAACTGAACTTAAACACTAAAAACTGAACTACCCTGATCCAGTTACTATGACCATTTATGTGAAGCTGCTTTGACACAATCTACATTGTAAAAGCGCTTTACAAATAAAGCTGAATTTAATTGAATTGAATTTTGCATCTAACAAATATCCTCATTTAGAAAACTAAATTAAAACTAAATAATTTCAAACTATAGAAACTAATGAAAACTAGTAAATCTGCCTCTTAAAACTAATTAAAACTAACTGAATTTGAAAACAAAAAGTCAAAACGAAATAAAAACTAAAATTAAAGAAAAATCCAAAACTATTATAACCTTGTTGTGGAGTTCTGAAAATGCAATCTGAAAACTATGGAGAAAGAACTGTTCCAAATAAATATATTGTGATGCACAAATAAATGTAAAGCGATTGACGAAAACCAAGCATATTTACAAAATAAATACAGTAAGATCTACAAATAAATTTTAGTGTTCCATTAACGTTAATTATGTTCAAGTAAGTAAAATTAGACTTGCAAATAAAAAACACACTCACGTTTTTTTTTTTTTATTCTACAAACACACACTGTAAAAAATAAATCCGTAAAATTCACGGTAAAAAAACGGCAGCTGTGGTTGCCAGTACTTTACCGTTAAAAACACGATACAAACCGTAAAAGTAATTTTTCATTTTTACAGTAAATTACCGTATTTTAATTCATTTATAGATGTAATATGTCTGTATTTTGAATGATCAACATCTACACATCTTTTGTAACACAGTTAGACACGTTAGCACACCCACATGCAGGTGGTGATGAGGAAGTTACATAATGAGCCAATCCTCACCACAATTAACTTTTCCCACAAGCAGAAAAGAGTATCAGCATATAGAAGGTGCTCAGTGTCATTCACATAGCTACTAAACACCAGTATGGTAACACGCATAAAATTAAAGTCATGAAATAAACATTGTTTATCAACATTAGATGTAACATAAATCTCTAATGTACATAACTGATGGGGAAACAACTCAAAAGATCCATATCAATGTCAACCAAATGCATAAAAAGTGATGTGCCATGCAGGGAATTCTAGGAAAGTAAATTTACGGTTATTCGCCGTATATATTAAGGAAACATACCGTTAACCAGGTTACGGATTTGCTGCAGCTTTCCCTGACAAATGCATGTGAATTGCGTCCTGTTTATTTGTTATGGCCGTGTTATGGCCGTGATTTCAACGGTAAAAAACTGTTAAAATGCTACAGTACAAATCCGTAATGATGAACACTAACCAGTATCTGATTGGTTTAGGTAGAAAGTGGGTGGAGTCCATCTATTTGTGGATTAGTGTTCTTCTTGACATTAGGAATGTTTTAAAATCCCCATTGAAAATTGTGAAACTTCACAAAAATGCAAAGGTTTTCAGTGCGACCTGTTTATGCGAAAACACACATCTGCTTTTATTATCGCTCAGCGGTCCAATCACTGGCCAGGCTTCAGACGAACAGGTGGCAGGTGTTAATAAGAGTCAGTGGCTTGATTCTGAAGGGTTTTTCCATTGTGATGCTGCGTCTTCTTTATTCATTCTTCAGTCTTTCATGTGGAAATGAACATCAGAGCTGCCGTGTGTAAGGATGGTGTGTCCGCAGGGCAGATGCTCATTTAAACCTGTTTCTGCACTCATTTGACTTGGTTATTTGGCCTCTGTCTATTATTCATCCTCGCTGAGGTTTGAGCGCTTTTAACATCTGAATAGAGCTGTGAACAGGGGTTTCTTGTGTATTTACATACACACACATGCACACACATATATATATAGAGAGAGAGAGAGAGAGAGTGTGTAAGATTCTTGTTACACACCAGGATCAAACTTTGATGAATTATGCTATTAAATACATAAAACACCATTGTTGAATTCAATTGAATAGGAGTTTTTTCAGCTTTATCTCCATTTGCCGGTTAGTTTATACACTTTAGGTTAGCTATTAAGTAATCTTTGCTCACTGCATGTTTTGTTTTGGTTTGGTTTCAAAGTATTATTTAAGTAATGTTTCAATATTGTTGTAGTATTGACATGTTAATGTTATTTTTCTTTAGTTTTAAGGTCTGTTTTGAAATTTTATGTTATTATGGTTTTTGCAGACTTGTGTACAAAAACTGATTTGCTTTGTTTTTTTTTTTTTTGTTTTTTTTACAGTTTTTTTATTTACATTTTTTAAAGTCCTCTGTTTTTTTGTTTGTTTTATACAGGTTTGTGTGCTGTTATATTTGAGTTAATATTATGATATGGAGCATAACTTATGAGGAACTATTTTCTCTGTGCAAATGTCAACGTTGATCAAAACACATAAGAAGTCAGAGCTTTTGATCTGGGATTTGAATGTTATTTGAGTTATTATTCTGAGATATTCTGTTATGGGTTTTCTTAGAATGGACAGATTTTTTCGGAGCTTTATGAAAAAGATAAAAGTAGTGTTGTTTATTTTGTTAAAAAATAAAAAAAGGTTAAACTAAAACAGTGTATAAAGGATTTGTTTTTATGAAAAATATTTGTAAAATTAAAAGTAAAAAATATATATTAAAATAAAATGAAAATAAAATGAAAAGTTTTGTCATTTTTTGTTATTATTATTATTATCATTATTATTATTGTTATAATTATTATCTATTTTAAATGTAATTTTTTTCAATTTTTGCAGAAAAATTGTTTTAGAGCATAACACATTTGTTAAAAATGTTTAAATAAATTGTTGTTTTGAGGCATTTTATTCCTCTATTTTAAATGTTCTTTGAAACATTATATAAATATCAAAAATAATAAAAAACAATATATAAAGTTAAAATAAAATATGATTTTTAAATTTTTATTAATTCTTTTTTTTGTTATCAAACATTTTTTTATCCTCCATTTTAATATATATTCCCTGTTATGTGTTTTGCAG